AGGCGTTTTAGGTAGGCGTGGCTGACTCTTAACTTTTATAAAGAATATCTCTTCGGATTTGAGACTTTAGTCTTTGCAAATTTACAGATCTTCTTTATGCACCAAGAGCTTGTAACACTCCAAAGCAAAGGGAAAAAATGAAATCGCATCATATGACCCCTTTAATAACCGAAGCAGGTGCAAAGATGTCGCTGTCCCTTTAAGAGACGCGGGCTGACTGAGCGCATATGCAGCGGCTCCCCTTCATCCTCACTGCTGCACTGAGACACAGACTCACAAGATCCGCTGGGATTCCTCCTGCGCTCGGAATGGAGATGTTGAATAATCGACTGAAATAAGGAGACGTCCTCGCAGAGATCAAGATGGTGTCGTGGATCATTTCGCGGATGGTGGTGTGAGTGTTTATGCGGCGCGCGCGTGTTTGTGTGTTGTGTGTGTTGCTGCGGATACATGACGCTTTTCAGTGGAAACTGATATTTTGTAATTAAAATGCTTTATTATCAATATGTAGATGGATTTCAATTAATTCGGCTACTCTTATAAATTACACAAAGGGTTAAATTAATAAAACAAAGCGATGACTTCATCCAGACGAGGGTTCACATTTGTATTGCTTGTTGTTGTTGTGTGCACGGTTTCCACAGAGCAAAATGCCCTATGTATCATATTGTGCCTTAATGTACCAAACACATCAATAGAGAATAATAAATTATGAGTTTGGCTTAAAAACATATTGGCAGGGTTTAAACATAACAGCTGTTGTGTATATTACACACCCATCACATCATCTCCTAATATGCTGATCCTCATACATTCAAGTGTCCCTTTTTAAATGACTAACTGTAACCAGTGACTTCTGAGATGGGATGATGAGGGGTTTTCTGTAAGAAGGCCTGTCTGATTTGTTCCTGCTGGTAATGTTACGTACTGTAATGTAAAGGAGGCCAATCTGGTCCATTTGACTCACACATTTGTTATGTTTGGGTCTCAGATGGGTTCCTAGTGGGATTTACAGTCAGGTGACTTTCATTCACATTGGATCATACCCAGTCTGCCAACTCGGATTACTAACTTCCCGATTCATTGATTACAGCAAACGCTCAGGCCTTGCTCCACAATGCATGTGCAGGTCATACTATCTCAAAGACTGCTTGGGCACAAATGGGAGCAGCTTAATTGTTGTTATGAGTTTGTTGGCCTAGATCTAGGCCATTAGAAGCAAACATCAGGTATCATTATCGTGGTTTTGCTGAATCTCATGGAATGCTCTTTGCTGTGACTGTGGCGAGCAGGTGCATTATGGGATTCGGGCTAACAAATGGGACAGAGGGCATGTGGTCTGCCACGCGCCAGACTGCCTCGCTGTCCTCATGCTTCATTGTGCATTACACACAGTCTATATGAACATATGCATTTACTGAATATAATGCACCGTGAGTACCATGTTTTAAAGGCAAGACGCCCCAGGTGAATAGGGTAAAAAAAAAATAGATATCACTATACTTCCCCATTGTCTTTAGACTGTTTTTGTATTACGAGTTTTCTGCAATGGTATGTTTACATATGCAAATGAGGCATCTATCTAATTAAATATGCACTAATTTGCATACATCCCAGAAGATAAATTTGAACATTAAATAAAGCCACATTCAAAATAATCGTTTAATTTTGTCGACATGCTGTATTAGAGTCAAAGGTTTTTACAGAGGGCATCTTGGATCTAATTTCATCACTCCATAAATCAGCCAGAAAAGTTCACTAATTTTAGGAATAAAAATTGTATAAAATGAGGCAAATTGTATACAAGCAACCTCCTCTATAAAAAAAACCCCCTTCAGAATATCGATAGGAATAAAACTGTAAGGCCTGCTGAAGTGGAGATTTTTGTCTCCGTGTATGAGAAAGCACTCATTTTAAGAAACTGGCCTTTGTAATTGAAATCTACAGGTGCAAATAGATAAAGTGCAATCATTTTTGGAAAACATTTGAATCATTTTGAATGTTTTTTTCCCCCATTAGTCTCAAACACAATGTTGTATGGAAAGCCAAATAGCCCAAAATCTCTCAATTGAGCAGTCCATGAAAAAAACGATGGTTTTGCCTGCAGTAGTACTACTACTACTACTAATAATAATGCATTTTATTTATTATGCACTTTTCTTAACCCAAAGCACTACAACTGCAAACATTGGTAACAACAACAAGCATGGGTTTCTCAGCCCATAGCACAACCACAAGCATAATAAAATAACAGCGATAAACACACAATAAAACAGTATAAACATACTCAGTTACAGTAAGCAACTTTAAAAAGATAAGTCTTTAAACATTTCTTAAAGCAATTCAAAGTTGGAGAATCTCAAATTCTGGCTGGTAGAGCATTCCACAGTCATGGAGCTGAGACAGAGAGAGCTCTACTACCCATAGTTTTTAATTTATATGCAGGCTGCTGAAGGATACACAACCCAGTTGAGCGCAAATTGGGAGCGGGAGTATAAGGATCAACTAAACTGGATATATAGGAAGGGGCAGTCCGATGAATAGCTTTATAAGTTAAGATCAGGATTTTAAAATCAATACACGCTTGAATAGGAAGCCAATGCAAGTTATGCAGTACCGGAGTAATATGTTGACGGGCAGTTGTATACGTTAGCACGCAAGAGGCTGAATTCTGAATATATTGTAATTTCTTAATAGACTTATCAGGGAGACCAACATAAAGTGCATTGCCGTAATCAAGCCTCGATGTAATAAAGGCATGGATGAGCCTTTCTGCATCAGGCAATGATGGAAAAGGACGGAGTCTTGCAATGTTTCTTAAATGGAAAAATGCAATTTTTGAGATCATTTTGATATGGGCATCAAACAATAGTTGAGGGTCAAAAATAACGCCAAGATTTCGTACTTGGGTGGATGGAGTAGCGAAGCCACAATCAATAATCACTTTAGAATTATTTAATTTATGTAAAGCCGCTGGCATGCCGATACACAAAAGTTCTGTTTTTGACTCATTGAGCATGAGAAAATTCATGTGCAACCAGGCTTTTATCTCGCCCAAGCAAGCAGTAATTGTTGTAACTGCAAGATTAGGATTAGGGTGCGTGCTGAGATAGATCTGAGTATCAACGGCATAAAAATGAAACCCTAACCCAAACTTGTGAATGATCTGACCCAGAGGAAATATATAAATACTAAACAGGATAGGCCCAAGTACAGATCCCTGCAGAACACCCTGCTGTACTAATGTTGGTTCAGACTGACATTTACCCAAACAGATAAATTGAAAGCGATTTGTAAGATAAGATTTAAACCATTCAAGTGCAATACCAGAGATGCCTAACCATGTATGCAATCTTTCAAGAAGGACAGCATGAGATAGTGTGTCAAAAGCAGCAGTAATGTCTAACAGGAGTAAAATACTACAAGCCCCAGTGTCTTGCCTGTAGCCACAGAACACTGTTATTGGGACGCACTCATGCCACCTGTCTGCAGTGCATTCAGTGGGTAGGTGTGGTCTGTCCTGTATCCTGACATCCTCTGGATCTGCCATTGCAGAACGTTCAGCTTTTGTCACATCAGCACAAAACGGCATGTTTGTGTGTGTGGGAGCGCAAGTGAACGAGAGCACATGTCCGAGTGCATGCTGCACACATGTGGGGCATCTGAGTCTAATCTGGTCCCTTTGTGTGCACATCCGTCTCTGTGCGCTCTGACTCCCTTTCATAAATGATTCACTTTTAATGGCTCTCAGATTCAGAGTGTTTGCTCTCAGTAATGTCATCGGGCATGTACAGTAGGGCTAGTGTTGACTGGGATAAGTTTTATGGGTTTGCTTTTCACTGAAGTACAGCTCTGAATATTTTGATCAGCCACCAGTATATTGAATGTGTGATTTATAAACTGATTTATTTCTGTTCTTGTTGGATCTGAATGAACCGGAGATATCTATCTTACCTTTAACACTTACTGTAAATAGGCAGCCTTTTAAGTGTCATAATTGTGTGCTTTAACTTGAGGTGATGGTGCAAGTGAACTTGTAGATGCTGAAGTGAGTTGGTGTGATGGTAAGATGAGCTTGTCTGTGTCTGCTGTGTTGTGTGTTTAATAAGAGTCTTTTCTCTCTGCAGCCTGGCCTTCGGGACCCTCTACCCAGCCTATTCCTCTTATAAGGCTGTGAAGACGAAAAACGTCAAGGAGTATGTGAGTATTTCAGGATGGCTTCAGTTAGCTTGAAAGTTGGCTCTATTGTAATGTTATAGTCGGCAGGATTGAATATACTCCTCTTAATGTTCAGTTAATAGCAATTAATAAACAAAATCTTATTCTAGGTTGTATGTATGTATGTGTGTGTATATATATTATACATTATATACTATTATAATAAATAAATAATTTATCAGATTTTTATTTGACATTTTTTAAACCCTTTTAGTAAAATTGATTTGCTCTTCAAAAAACAAAGAAGAGCAACAACAACAAAAAAAACGGTTTGTACCCTATACATGGAAAGTGGCAAAATTATATATGTTTTAAAAGAGATTGCTCAGGAAAGCCCTTTGGAATAAACACCCATATAATGATATTAATAATAAAATCATAAAAATTATATATATATATATATATATATCAATCATCTTGGAGTCTCAGGTTACTGGTTGCTATGGAAACCACTAGGGCAGCAGTTTGCTCCCTCAGACACCATTTTTAGCATCTCTCTCATCTGTATTACAAAAGCGCCACCTTCCATTCATTTAGAGATGTTTAGTAAAGACAGTTTGGCCATTGTATAACCTCTTCTATTGTCTTATGGAGATTAATTTATAAATGCAAAATGAGTTTTAGATGACCATAGTGATGTGTCCTATCATAATTACCCAAATGGGTATTAATCTAATTCAGTGGTTCTCAACCTTTTTTTCCACCGGGGCCGCACTATGGTCCAAGTGCAAGTCTCGTGGGCCGCACGCATATCATTTACATATTACGTCAGCAATACAAACCAACCTGATTTATAATATTATAGCCTAAATATTATGATATCTAATCGATTACATTAATTGAAAGATGGGGGGGGGGCACCCACTGGCAGATGAGCCACGAGCACTTTTTTATATGTTCTATATTTCATATATTTATGTAACACATATTCTACATTAAAAAAAATAATTTAGAATGAACAATAACTGCTGTACAAAGAGTAACAAAAGGAAAGAAAGAAAAAAACACCTAATGCAGAAAAACCGCCTCTTTTTTCGAATTGCGCAGAGGACCACTGTCTTTCTTTAATCTCTTCTGATAAATTTTCAGTCAAATCGTTTTCTGTGTGCTAGATCAGAGCTAGAGCCCTGCATTTCAGCCCGGGCCCGACGGGCCCCGACTTTTTACGCCCCTCGGGCTGGGCTTCGGGACAATTTAGTGTTCTTACCTTTATGAGTAAAAATGACGGTGTATCCACTGAAAAAAAACACAAGTGATCGCGCTGGCGTCTCTATGTCCTGCAAAGCGCGCTTCAGCTTCCACTCTCCGCACAAACTATTGGATACAGCACACATTTATCTAGGTTTAACGTTTAAACATTGTTATATGCTTGAACTGTTTTATATCTATAGATTTTATTTTAGTCAAGTCGTGATGAGGCTAAATTGATCAAACATATGCTCACTGTGCCGCTGGCCGCTTGGTCGTTACCTTAAATGCGTAACGTTAATTAGGCTATGTGAGTAGGCTACTGCTCATGTCTGAAAATAATATTTGAAAACATATTTTACATAAAAACATTAGGCTATAGCTTATATTTATTTAGTACATTTTTTAATTAATGTAAAAACAAAAATGAATTGTAAAATTTGAAGTGTTTTTTTTATTGTGTTCAGCACGGTGGGCCGCATTTGAATTCGTGACGGGCCGAGGGTTGAGAACCACTGATCTAATTGGCAGTACAGATGGAGACATAACTGGCAGTGTAGTGTTTTTCATAAGGCAGTCATGCATAACACACGAGGCTATATTCAGCAAGAACATGTGACCTTATACATGCTAATGTCATGCACACACATGCTTGATTATAACATCTGTGTATGTTTCCATCCTCAGGTGAAATGGATGATGTACTGGATAGTGTTTGCGTTATTTACAACAGCAGAGACGATCACAGATATGCTTCTCTCTTGGTCAGTCAGTTGTTAATAATGTTTTTAGACTATTTCAGATATATTTGTTATCATGCTATATACATTTGATTTTTCACATTTTTTGGTAACACTTTACAATAAGGTTCATTAGTTAACTACATTAGTTAACATGAACTAATAATGAACTGCACTTATACAGCGTTTATTAATCTTTGTTAATGTTAATTTCAACATTTACTAATACATTATTAAAATCTTGTTAACATTAGTTAATGCACTGTGAACTAACAATGAACATCTGTATTTTTATTAACTAACGTGAGCATAGATTAGTAAATACAGTAACAAATGTATTGCTCATGGTTAGTTCATGTTAGTTAATACATTAACTAATGTTTAACTATTGAACCTTATTGTAAAGTGTTACCCATTTTTTTATGTGTAGTGGTGTATATATCATAATTTATCGCCCTATTATTAATGATCATTAATTTAATGTAACTTTTATTGCATTAATTGTTAAATGTTGACCTCCCATTTTCCAGGTTTCCATTTTATTTTGAGCTGAAGATTGCCTTTGTTATCTGGCTGTTGTCACCGTACACCAAGGGCTCCAGTGTGCTGTACCGCAAGTTTGTGCACCCCACGCTCTCCAATAAAGAAAAGGTACTGATACAACTTGTCCCATTGAATGTAATCAAAATATTGTTAAAGATGACTCCTTTTTCTTTTTTGCCCATAAATTTAAATTACATTTTTGGCATCTTCAAACCGGTTTGCAAAGATTGTTTTCAAACAGGTTTCCTGAACACTCCACCAATCAGAGAGTTGAGGCATTTGTCATGCGTGATGTATATGTGTGTTACAGGAAATTGATGAGTACATAACCCAGGCTAAAGACCGCAGTTATGAGACCATGATGCGGTTTGGGAAGAGAGGACTCAATATTGCTGCCACTGCAGCAGTCACAGCAGCCACAAAGGTGAAATCACTGTGTTAGATGAAGTATGTATTTGTGGGTCAGGGCTCAAAATTAATTTACCTAAAATAATAATAATTAATTAACTGTAAAAACAGTAAGCTTGTGAAATATTACTACAATAAAAAAAAAAACTATTTTCTGTTTGAATATATTTCAAAATGTAATTTATTCCTGTGATAGAAAGCTAAAGCTCACCTGCATTTATTTGACCCAAAATACAATACATTTAATTAGAATATATTTTATAATGTAATTTCTTCCTGTGACGCAAAGCTGAATTTTCAGCATCATTACTCCAGTCTTCAGAGTCACATGATCCTTCAGAAATCATTCTAATATGCTGATATATATATTCACATTTCTTATTTTTATTGTCAATGTTAAAAGCAGTTGTGCTGCTTAATATTTTTGTAGAATTGTTTAGGATTATTCGACAAATAGAAAGTTCAAAAGCATTATATGTAGCATTATAAATGTCTTTACTGACACTTTTGAACAATTTAATGTGTCCTTAATTAATAAAAGTATCAATTTTGAACATTAGTGAATATAATTATAATTATATTTAAAAAAATCCAGGGTAAGTAAAGTTCTGACCTACTGGTCCAGCATAAAAAAAATCTTTATTACTGAGATTGCTAGGTGCTATTGTGTAGAGCAGGTTTATTTATTTTATTTTTTTTGCATATTGTGTAACGTTGAGTAAGAAACATATCTTTATATGTTTTGCAAAGTGTAGGGCAGGGTCACTGTTCAATACACATTTGCCTTTTATTCAAACTGTGCAAAGAACTTTATTGTCATATGTACAAGTGCTGTATAATTGTGATGTGCCTTCAATAAGATTACGCCATTGTAATATTTGAATCGTTTGTGTTATTGAACTGCAGGGTCAGGGTGTGTTATCGGACAAGCTGCGCAGTTTCAGCATGCAGGATCTGACTCTGATTCAGAACGAAGACGAGCTGCAGCTGGACGGCACAGACGACACACACACTGCCGCCACGCTACCTCGGGCTAAAACAGTCACGCGCACAGGTAACATACAGACGGCTACCGTCCTAACAGAATCAAACTTTATGGAATAATACCTAACAGGCCGCATTCCCACAATGGTTTCAACAGCCGTATTGACTAACAGATGTGACTCCCTAAATCTAATCCTCTACATACAGACAAGTGGGGATTGAAAAATAACCAAAGTAAATCAGCTTCTTTAATGCCTGTAACTATAGTGACAGATCACTCTAGTAAACATCACTTTGAATACAGCTCATATTTATAATGATCTGTCCTGTTCAAACACACACAAATAGGTCAGTGAGGTGTGTGTGTTTGCTGACTCATTGAAAGCCGCTCTGCAGGCAGCCATTGTCTCGGCCTGTTTATAATGCTGATGCTGATGTGACCAGCATGTGATTCAGCTGCCTACTGGCTGAGAGACAGGAGGGGTCGATCTGCTGGGGTTTGTTCATACGCAACTGCACACTTATGAGTTTCAGCGCTCATTTAAGCTGTTCAGGACAAGTGCCGAGTTTGACCTCTTCAAATACCGGGACGTCACGAGACTCGCAAGTCACTGAAGGTCATGACCCTCGTGTGAGGCTTTACAGCAAACAAAAGATAGTCTGTTGTAGAATCACTCCCGAGTTCTACAGAGAGGTGATCATTTCAATAATGAGATGTGTAGTGATTTTATTAGGCCACAGAGCTCCTTCATTGAATTACAGGGCGTCAAAGATACATTGTGAACGGAAGAGCAAAAGGCTCTTCGAAAGAAGTCTTTGTGTTTCAGGCTTTGAATGAGGCCTGGCAAGCTTTAAATGCCAGAGAGAGTCTGTTCACACCGCAGGCTGTTTGCGACTATATCTTTTTCTTTCCTGAGGGATTTACCCCCAAAAAAGACAAGTAAAACAATTGGCATTTTTTGTTTTTTCCATTGAACACAAAAGAAATGTTTAGCAGAATGTTCATGGTGCTCTTTTTCTACAAAATTCTACAAAAAGCTGCAGTCCGTAAGTTTTGCCTCTTTGTCGCCATCTCCGTTTGAATCCTGCAATTGCAGTTTTTTTTGCGGAATTATCTTCTTTACGTGGGTTGTGCATCGACAAGGCTTCTCAATGTGGATGAATCTAATGTTTTGAGGAGTATGTGTGGCTGTCAGTCACCGCACCGGTGTGGATATTCACTGTACTTAGGAATCATAGATTCTAGCCTATGTCTTGAAAGTATGACCCAAATAAGAATTTTCACCGGATATTGTCATCTGAACAAGTAACAAGTCTGCCACTTTTGTTCTGACCAACTGAGGAAAAAAGCGTTACAATAAATTGCGTTACCAATGGTGATTAAATCTAACGTTCGGTTAGCTCATATCTCATCTAACCATGCAAATTATTATTATTGTTATACTTTGTTCTCAAAATGTTAATGTTAACAACATCAGCATTGCGTGACTATGTGCATGTGGTGTATATTAGCGTTACATGTAGATTTCAATTACCTGTTCTATTCAAATTTCAGTCTCATGTGTTTCATAAACAGTGTTGGGCAAGTTACTCTGAAAATGTAATCAAATTACTGATTACTCCTTTTAAAAGTAATCACATTACTGTTCTGATTACTTTATTTCAAAAGTAATTAGTAATTAGTTACATTACTAGTTACGTTACTTTTTTTTTAATGAAATCCCAGCATACACGCTCCCGATAAATATTTGTTATTAAAGCATCAACATACACAGAACACTGTTATTTTTAACTAAAGCAAGCGGCTGCTGCGTGCATGGTTTGGAATGGCAGAATGCCAGCAAAGAGCCCTGCATTTATAATCTCTAAAAGACATTTATATTAGTTCATGTTGCTTTTGTGCAATAGATGAATTACAATGTATTTGTTTTAGATATTTCTATTTTGCGGGAGTCCCGTGAATCATTTTGTTCTCCCGCATCCCGCACACACACGAGTGTCTACCCGCTTGCACCAGCACTCACCTATCTTGTCCCGCGCCGCACTCTTGTTGCGTTGGGTCTCGCGGGAGCAGTATAGCCTACTAGCCGGGACTCCTTCTTTATGTTTACAGACGTGACGTAACGACGCAGCGGCATTTCCCGCAAATTCCTACCAGTACCACTCAAATTAGAAAACATTATTATAAGCTTACCGTTGTGAATTGGGCTTAGGTAAGGCAGTAGTTTTGAACACTGGCTGGTTATGTACTTGCTCAAATTAATTTAGGATAATTTTTAACCAAAAAAAGTTACGCACTGCAGCTTTAAATTGGCCTATACATCTTGTGCACTGTATTCCACTGTAAGTCTTCTAAAGCAATGTGGAGAATTCTGAAACTGCTTAAATAAGACGCAGTAAAATATAGCATAGATGTTTTATTTGCCCACAATTCAGAAATTATTTTGTCACTAGTAGTTTGTAATAGGTGTTTACCAAATCAAGAACTCTCTGAAGAGTTCTTTGAAATGAAGTGCATCCAGAAACCATTCAGCCCCCTTATTATTATTATTATTTTTTTTTTTTCAAATTTTATGTTGCAGCCTTTGGAAAAAATAATTTAAAGCATTTTAGCACGTCTACACTCCACATCCCATAATGACAAAGCAAAAATCTGATTTGCGATAAACTTAGTTTAGATGCATCCCATTTTTCCAGATCTTTGAGATGTTTCTGCATTGGAGTAAAACAAATTTAAATGAATTGGAAAGGCACAAAACTGTCGAGACACAGCTCAGAGACAGGACTGTGTTGAAGCACTTTGTAATAGGTGTTTACCAAATCAAGAACTCTCTGAAGAGTTCTTTGAAATGAAGTGCATCCAGAAACCATTCAGCCCCCTTATTATTATTATTTTTTTTTTCAAATTTTATGTTGCAGCCTTTGGAAAAAATAATTTAAAGCATTTTAGCACGTCTACACTCCACATCCCATAATGACAACGCAAAAATCTGATTTGCGATAAACTTAGTTTAGATGCATCCCATTTTTCCAGATCTTTGAGATGTTTCTGCATTGGAGTAAAACAAATTTAAATGAATTGGAAAGGCACAAACCTGTCGAGACACAGCTCAGAGACAGGACTGTGTTGAAGCATAGATCTGGGGAAGACTACTCCACAAATGCTGCTGCATTGAAGGTTCTCAAGAACACAGTGGCCTCCATAATTCTTAAAGGTCAGAAGTTTGGAAAAACCAAGCTGAGCTATTGGCAGATAAGAGTAAGAGAGGTAACCAAGACCCTGATGATCACTCCTTGATGCTTGAGCTCCAGAGGTCATGTTTGGAGATGGGAGAACAACCTCGCTCTGACACTCTACCAATCTGAGCTTTTTGGGAGAGTGGCCAAATGAAAGCCTCTCCTAAGTGCATGACACATGAAATTACAAAAAAGCACCTAAAGGACTTCCATACTGAGAAAAACAAGATTATCTGCTCTGACAATCCCCTCTTCCAAGCTTCATTTTCAGAGGAAACCAGTGCAGTACTGTCTTAACGGAGGTGGTAGCATCATGCTGTGGAGGTGTTTTTCAGAGTTCACCTTCCAACTGGACAGTGATCTTAAGCACACAGCAAAGAAAATGCAAGAGTGCCTTAAGGAGAATGCTGTGATTGTCCCAGTCACGGGACATTCAGTCAAACATCTAATCAATCCAATAAACATCTCTGGAGAGACCTGAAAATAGCTGTCCACAAATGGCCTCCATCCAACCTGACAGAGCTTGAGATGGTCTGCAGAGAAGATTGTCAGAAATTCGCCAAATCCAGATATACAGCGCTTGCGGCGTCATACCCAACAAGACTTCAGGCTGTAATCCCTGCCAAAGGTGCTTCAACTAAGTACTAAGTTAAGGCTATTATGAATACTTTCGCCAATGTGATTTTGCTTTGTCATTTTTTCAGAATGGGTTCTGGAATAAAAATAATAATAATAATTTAAAGCAATTTACCATATAAATGTTGGATCACATTTACTGTTGTTCTGGGAATTTTCCAGGTGAAATCCAGACATTTTATATGAAGCCCCAGAGATGAAATGCAGGGGGAAACAAATATTTATATCGTGGCCACAAATTCCAATTCATTCCTACAACTTACTAATACGTCAGCACAATTTACCAATTCATCTCCTCGTTTTAAATAAATCATGAGCACAATTTAGCAATTTTTTACTTTGTTTTAAGCATATCATGTACACAATGTATTAATTAAATCCCTCATTTTAAGTAAAGCGTGAGCCCCATTTAGGCCTACTATTTTATTACCTTGTTTTATAAAAATCCATTCTGTTTGTTGAATAATTTGTGAATGGCATATTGCACCCTCGTTGGCAACAGACTATATCCTCATCACAGTCCTGTTATACTTTATTCATAACTGCAGCAAGTGGCCTTTTCTCAATTCGCAAGTATTAGTAAAAATACTTGCGCGTTTACTAAAATGAGGCAACAAATTAGTAAATTCTGCTGGCTTGGGAATGAATTGTTTACTCGTGGCAACAATATAAATATTTTTTCCCGCATATCCAAGATTCAGTAATTTCAGTAGGAATCAATGTGATTTGGAATTTTGTGTAAAGGTGAGAATTCCTCACACATTTTTTTCCCCCAATGGATTCAAGTTGGTCATTCGATACCATGGACTGTTAAATTTTACTGCAATTTTGCTAACGTGTTGCACCTTAAGGCTGCAGCATAACAAAACGAAGCCGTCTGAAGACTTTCTGAATGCACTTCAGTCTGTTACATCAGCCCGCATGAATGTAAAGCAGAATGAGGGATTCCTGTTTATTTTCTATATACACATTTTTCCTTCGAGAAATTGCATTTTTGCCTTCACTGAATTGCATTCATCCAGTTGCTCGAGAAGATCTTGTTGTAACCGTAAAACCGGTTTTCATACTCTTCCTCTTTTCTTTTGTTTTTCTTTACCACCATATCCTGCTGTCATCCCCAGCAGACCACCAAGACAGTGAAGAAACCGACAAAGAAGAAAGCCACCACCACGGCCAACAACAATGCTGAATCCCCATGAGTCGCACTGCGTTTATCCATCCCTGGACAACACACACACACACATTCA